GTAGAGCCATGTGCAGCCAACAGCCTGGGGAGATTTGGGATTTAAACAACATATTATAATATTCCTGAGCTTTAAGGCAAAGCCAGAGTTATACTGTTGGTCAATGAGCTACTCTTGAAGTAATTCTGGGGTTAAGATGGTTGCTGAAGGAGTGCACCGATGCAGGTTTTGCATGTAGGAGGAACACTGCTTCTATTCTCTCACTGAGATTCCCCAACTGCTCTGCTGATTTTAATAAAGGTAACTGGCCAGTTGCTCACCAGCTGGCCTTTGCTACCAAATCTCAGCTGGGTGTGTGTCCCTACTGGGTCAAATCACAGGATGAGACACGTTAAAAACTTGCAACATAAGTCTCTATAGTCTAAATAAAAAAGTGAGCTCCTGAATGAAGATTCTGAATAAGGCAGTGATACGCAGATTATTCATACCAGTGAACTTTAGTCAACATTTGTAATCATGCATGATTGTGATGAATGCAAAAGAGGCTCTAGACATGAAAGCCTTACGGACCAGGCCCGATGTTGTGGTGCAGCAGCAGCAAATTGCCACAGCATTTTCCTCCTGTATGTTTAGGGTTGTAGTTAATAGTTTATAGTTGATTGTTTAAACTTGAAAAAATTATTATTCCAGACTGAATATATTCTGGGCTGTCCACTAACTGACATCTCCATAGATGGTTTAAAAATCACAATACGTACAAAGGAAAGCACCCTTAGTTACAGACATGAATGGGATTTCACGTATATACTTTCCTCCGCTGAACTGTGACTTCCTTCATACGGCTCAGTGCAAACTTGTCTTCGGGCTATTCTTGTTGTTTCTCTGAGATAATAACCCAAGGCCTTATCATGTCGGGAAGAGTCGACTGTCATTCTCCTCCCACTTTCTCAGTGCACTAAAGAGAAGAGGAATTCAATAAATGTTAAACAAAGAGAGATAAAGAAGAAGAATAAAGGATCATGGGAAATATATTACCACAGGGTGGGAAAGTCTTATGAACCTGCTGAAAAAAAACCCTGAAGAAGAATTTAGCTGGTAGCACTCAAATATGTCTTACGTGGAGCAGGCAGTGATCATGGGGCATGAGACACAATGTGGATGCCAACAATCAGCAGCACTATTTGACAGATGGATCAGAACGTTTCAGCCTAGACCAGGCTAAAACCTCATGGTCACATGACCAGTGGATTAGCATTAGCCCAACTGAAAGGGGGAGGGGGTTGGGTTGTCTGTCACCACATGCTTCCTGATCACTTCCCTCTGAATACGTTTCCCTTTCTCTTTCACTCCACTTATCCCCTCATCTCGCTGTTTGTCTTTTGCAGTTTTTATCATTCATGACTTTGATAATATGCACCAGAGAATTGGATCACAAGTGTTAGGTATTTTTAGTCAGATAAATATTGGATAGATACTTTATGTATTAGAAATGTTTAGTGGAGATAGGATGTCTAGTTAGACTGTTAAATGCTTAGTCATGCTTATGAGTTTCTACAGGGTACATCTGGTCAAGGATAACTAGAGAGAAGAGTTGATGACTGTCAGCAGACAGGGTGTTTAATATTATTATTATGACGTGTATAACTGTAGCCTTAGCCATAATATGTTCTTATGTTTAAGTCACGACATGTTACTAGAGGTCGTGTGAGAATGTTTTTAGCTACACACCACTTAATCAACAGACACACACACGCACATTGATTTGCTTCATGTTTTGACTACTGCTATGACCAGCTGCAAAGCTGGCAACAGAGACATCTCGGTTGACATTTCTGTGTAGTATGGGGCTAGCCCAACCGAGGGGATATAATGTATAGGCCTGGTGGGTTCAGGGTCTTTCATCTTACATCTGCCTGCGTGCAGTTTGATGGTGCAAGATACCTGAGCGTGTAATGTTAATTTTACCTGTGATCCTTTGAATAAATCAGCACTGTTTTGAAGTTACTTGGACTGTCTCATCTCTCAGAGTTAGCAATGGTAAAAAGTACCGGGTACAACACAAGCAAAGGAAATTCCTGATCTCTTCCATTTAACTCTTTCATGTGTCCTCCCTCCTCCACTGTTCACCGACAGGAAGCTCAATGCTAAGTACAGTCATTAGTGCGTAAGTGATTCTGACACCTCTGACTCACAGCTTAGTCAGATCAAAACCCCCATGCTAATCATCGGCTCACTTCCAGCTACTCCTGAAGTTAATGCCGAGAACACCTCCTGTCTGTGCTGTCCTTCTCTACTATGCCCCCCCAACCACCACCACACACACCCACACACTTGGAATACTCTTCTAGGATTGCTGGGCCTTTTGCTTGTATGACATCAGAGAGCAAAAAAGTGAGAAACACTGACAAGCGTAAGGACATGCCATGCTGTAACCACATGGCACAGTGTGTTTATAGGGTGAAACACTGGCCCCCCCTGTCTCCCCTGCTGCTGCTGCTGCTACTCGTCCTGCATCTGGATCTTTCTGTCAGGGACACAGTGTGTCAGCCAATTCATGCCTGGCCAGCATGCCATGTCCCTGCGCCAACCCAAAACACCCTCCTTTTCACAGAAAACTGGGAAAACCCTCCCTTCCCTTGCACTATGCACAGCAGTGAGGGAGAGAGAGCATGCAGGGTAACATAGTGCTTGCCAATAGGGTTAAATGCTAAAAGGCACTGACTTATTGCGTGTAGACTGCAGCTTGACTGAAATGTTTTATTGATCACAAGCAGACATACCGAAATGACAAACAATAAAAAAGATAAAGAGACATGAAAAGAAAGAAGTGTCTTTGTCATCATACAAAGCTGAGAAATTGGGCTATTAAATTTCAAACAACTGGTCATAAATTCCTACTGCAACTTCCCAAAGATTCAAAGTGTTTATTGTCATATGTACAGTAAGGAAACATGTTTCACTGCACCATGAAATTCCCAGTGCCCAAGGTGATGTCTTGAAATGACTTTGCCCAAAACTCAAAGGTATTTTCAAAGAAATCTAGCAACCAAAAATGACAAAAATGATGATTCAGTTATCAAAAACTACTACAGGAATTTTAAAGAACAATTTCTGTAAAAGCTGATCTCACAGCCAAACAGGAAAGCATCACAAACTAACCATTTCTATTTATGTGTTGACAGGAAAGGACTCAGAGAACTCATTTAAACTTTATATCCAGCAGCCTCAAACAGGAGACATTAACGAATTGGGCAAACATCATTACTATCACAACATGTAATTCAGAGTTACAGTACCGAGAGCAACAGGGGACAAAGTCAATGCCAACTTGTAAAAGACATTCTTTAGAAAGTCCAAAGGAAAACACCAAAATCTTATCCGACTTCAGCAAGTAAGAAAATGTTTCAGGAAGGTGCAATCACTGCAGGTAAGTTCATCGGCACACTCACAAGGATGCACACAACACACACACTGTGTCTTGGAAATAACATCAAAGCAGCAGCGACATTTCAGCCCGGACACCAGGGTCTCGATTCTGGAGCTGCATGTTATAGCGCTGACAGTCAGCTTTGAATGGAAATATATGAACCACCCTTTTATACTTTTTTCAATCAAAGCAATCAATCCTCGGGTTTACAATAACACACAATTAGAACGGCTACATTGAACGGCACAAACCTGATCAGACCTGCACTGTAACGCTCAGCACCTTCCACAGTTCTGATGGAGCTTTTGTGACAACATGACAGTAGGAACACAGCTGATGTGGAACATGTACGGTTGTAGAATTCAACTAAGTATACAAGCCTTAGTTTCTCCAGAGAAGAAAGCCATATTATCAGCATGTAAAACAGCTATAGTATTGTGTGTTGGTGTGGAGCTGGTGAACTAGGTGAGATTATAGAGACCTTTGTGTTATGTTTTGGGAAATCTCCCTTATTGCCACAGGGACTGCAACCAAATTTGTGGTACTTATTTCTAAGTGACCCTGTAGTATTTTAAAGCTTTTAGTTTTATTTATATAATATCACTCCACACTTCTTATAATACTGCTTATCTTTGCATAAAATCTATTATATTATTACTATATTGTATTTGTCAGATCAGCAGTATAAAAAGTATGAAGATCATTTACTTGGATAAAACTACATAGGTACTATTAGAAGTTGAAAAAGCAGTAATAAAAAAGTACTATAACAGTGAAAGTGGGCTAAAGACTGTTCAGTAGCTAATGCAGCTTTAGACTAATTAGTTTTACATGTATTTGCATGTAAAATCTTTATCTTCAAAGTAACAACTGATCTCTTAAGTGTGAAGTAAAAGTACATTTCTACAAAGTGGAAATCACTTAAAGTTACTGAAAACTGCACTTGAATAAAGCGGGATAAACGATGAGTGTAATGTTACAAAGCGACTGAACAAAAGCTCCATTCAGGCTTTCACCTGTCAGGCTTCTGAAGCATGTCCATTAGACCATTAGACTTAATGCCCCATTCAGGCTGCACTGGAGTTATTGGAGGCAAGTGGATAGAGTTGTGCGTGTTGAAAAACTTTTGACATTTTTACACAAATATTATATAATGATAACTAGTCAGTCCGTTACAACAGCCAGAATGCCATAGCCACAAGCCCCAAAGCTCGTTCACAAGGATATTGTGTTCCTGTAAAGATACATAAACTAAAAGACAACAGAGGAGGTGAAAAATACCAACATGACAAGGTGTCAGTAAACTCACAGACGCGCTTGCCACCCGTGAGGATTGTTAGACCAGCCTAATGTTACAGTCGGAGCCGGGAGACCTGCCTGTTGATTCAGCAGCGCCAAGGAAACCAGAGGAGAGCAGGAAAAAAGTACCACAGAAACAAAATCCAACATAAACTACACTGTATGCATCCAGATGGGTCTGTGTGCGCAGCGTCCGCGGGGCGCTGCGCTCGCAGTTTGTTTACAAAGCTTTGTCACAATATTCTTTCGCAACGGGGACAGTCTGCGCTACGAGACGAGGACGTTTATCTCTCCACACAAAACAAATGAAAAGACATTAAACTATCGCACCTACCTCAGTGGAACGAGTGAAGCTGCTGTCCGTTCTCATAAAATGCGGGGAGAGGCTGCTGCGACGCGAGCAACCTAAAACAGAAATCTCCCAGTCAGACAGACAGACAGATAGTCCTCTAGTTTCCAACAGTTCGCCTCACACTTCACTGCTCTCTCTCTCTCTCTCTCTCTCTCTCTCTCTCTCTCTCTCATTCTCTCTCTCTGTCTCTCTCTATGACCCCGCCCACTTCCGGCGGCTGTTGAGCTCTGTCAGAAGTAACACTTTCTACACATCTCCGTCCTGGTGATGGCTGATTTGGACCAATGCTGAATATGGGCTCATGAAACTGAAAGTCTTTTGTCAAGTCGCAACAACAAACACAACAACGTTAACATTTTTACATCTGCTAAAAATATTTTATTTTAGGTCACTGTGCGCCAAGACAACCAGGCACAAGGACAGTTTCTTCCCCTGGGGCCACCATTCTGATGAACACTTAAGCCACGACAGTATTACTTAATTTCATTTGACTATATTTTACTTTATAATATTTATGCTGCAGCCTGTCATGTGCACAATTAATGTTGCTGTACATATTACACATAGGCCTATAAATGCCGCCGCTACAAATTATAACAACAATAATAACACTCATCATAATAATTACAACTGTAATGATAATAGAAATTGGATAAATGTAAATCCATTAACCATAGGTTGATACAGGCTCTCAGAGATCCCACAGTCTTTCAGGTCATTACGTCCAGACTCACTTTCTTTGGTTTGCTGCAGACCGGTGACTTTAAATCTTCTATCAAACTCAGCACAACACTTCCACATCAGTCGCGTTTAATCTGGATAATAGCGACACCTTTTGGTTAAAAAACTATCTTAATTGAACTAATCGACTGATGTGTTTCCAATGATCCGAGGGTAAAGGTGTTACCCATCGAAACACATAACTGATTTGGATTTAGTGATGCTGTTCTCTCACCATTATCAGTGGGATGAGAGAGAAGAGGTGACAGGGACCAAAGATAAAGCTGTCAACAGTACATTAATTAGATAAGAGCCACAAACCAAACACAGGAAAGTGCAGCTACATGTGAGCATTTACTGACTGTTCAAGTCTGTTTATTCACTTTTATTGTATGTTTGTTGCTACGCGCAATCATGATCCAACTCTTTGTGTAGTGTTGAGTCAAGGAGAAACTTTTCTCATTGCAATGAAATACTTTGCTCGTTTTTACGAGATACTTTCACGTTAAATCATATATGTGACGTTCATACTACATACTGTATTTCCTCGTTATAACAACACACTCTGGGCTGTTTTGTCATTATAACAACATACTGTATCTTGGAGTGCGCGTGGCGCGTACATTGTCTTTGAGCAGCGCCTCATTCAGCTCAGCAGCGTCTCTCTCATCAACACTCTTCCATAACTTTCCACACAGTGCTGCTGTTAGGAGCTGTGCTCCAACCGGTCCTTGAGCATCACTGAGCTCACCCTTAAATCCACGCGCAATAAGTAGACCACAAAATAACGCATGAATGCAGCTCATGAGCAATATATAAGAACTACCCTGCGCATGTCCCGATGATGCCGAGGCATTATTGACAGCAGGTGAAGTCAGTGCGTGGCTGCTGTCGCTGCTCCAAGCTGCAGGACTGACGTTAGTGAGTAGAAATGACGCGATCCAAGGCTGCGTGATATTATATAAGATACTGTAGCTCCTCGTGCCATAAATGTGAAACTATATTTCTCTATTGTGCAATGACTGTCAGACACAATGACGTAAAACTTGAGCAAAATCAACAAAAAATGTACGACCGATGCGCACAGGATTACAACAGCAGGCGCCACTGACTCTGAAATCAATATTATAATCTTTTGTTTAAAATCTGGAAGTATCAAAAGTATACACTGAGGTGTTTCTGTGTGATCTGAACTCTTGGAGTGTTTTAACACATTATGTGATTCAGATGTTCATAATTCTATAATTATAATTCTCATAATACATGAGTTTAAACTTATTTTCAGAGGGAACTGTTGAACTTTTTACTTACAAAACAATTTTAGATTCAAAAATATGACTTGCAAAGTGGAAACACCTAAAACACAAGCACTTCAAATCTGTACCCAAGTACTTGTAGAAATGCACTTGGTTATATCATGACTATACAATATTAACACACAAAAGATAAAAATCCATAGTTTGAATGTTGTTATTGTTGTTTTCCCCCATCATGCTGGAAAAAAATGACTTCATTTTTAACCATCCATGTCAAGAAGTCACCTTTTATGTTTCTTTCTATCTCAAACACACACACGTGTTTCCAGAAATGCAGGGGACACTTCCTGGAGACTTAAGCTTAACCATAACCACTACTTCTCTAACCCTTACTCTAAACCTAACCTCATACGAACCATAAACCAAGTCATCACTCTAAAATGCAGTGATCCTCGTTTTAGTGATTTGCTTTTTGTGCCCATAAGGAGGTTGAGTCCTCACAATGTGACTGTGTAAACAGATTTATGTCCCCACAACATGAGCAATACCAGGCCACACACACACACACACACACATTGATTCTCCAGATTGACTGGCGGCCTGCCAGAACCAAAGAGCGACAGTTGGCCCCACAGACAGCTGAGTCAGCAGCTGCTGACGGAAATACATCTCCACACCCCCTCATCTCCTCAGACCAGTGTGTTCACTTCCTACTACTAAGACAAACTAGACACACACAAGGCAGAAAATGAAGGCAGAGGCCTTGCCATGCAGAAACTGCTTCCTTAGCGCCTCTGTTTCATTAGCTGCTTTATCTCAGCTGTCACATCTTCTCCAGAGGACTCTTGGGAATCCTAGTGGTCCTACTGCTGGTAATCACTCCAGTGATCTGTTATACAGCTAAAGATATGGCTGCACGCACACACACCTACACACACACGTACACACAATATGGGGTTTCCAGTGATTCATTGATTTTGTGTTGAGAGTTCTATCATCACGAGGCAGAGAGAAACACTCTCAGGTCACAAGTCACCATAAATATATTCAATAAAAAGAATATGGGGTTGATCTTATGTGTTGTTTATATCCACAATAATTGCTTCTACCTTTTGCACATGCAAGGATACAACGTGAAAGCATCCTATATGAACTCATTTTTTACATTTCATTTTTGCTGCATTACATCTCGGCTCTTTTGCCCTGCAGTAGGCAGCTCCAGATGAACAGGGCAGTGAATTCCTCAGAGGGATTCAACGTTTATTGATTGCATATATTGCTCCTCTTAAATCTTTGAAGTTCCTCTTAGTGAATGGTCTTTTGTTACTTGTTCCTGTCTGAATTGGTGCGTTTACAGTCACACACTGATCCTCAGCCTGTCACTGGAACATTAACAGCCAATGTTATTGAAGGTCAGACGGAAGTTCATTCCAATAAACCCTGTTTAAAACTCCTCGGGTCCTGTTCAAGAGCGTATGAATTCAGAAGGTTAGCGGTGTACTCAATGGGTAAACGACAAACTCAACAAAGGCTTTTAAAAAAAATTGATTCCATGATGAAGCAGCGTGAAACCATTAAAGGCTTTTTATCACATACTCCTGCTCCTCTAGTGCCTTTGTAATCTTAGTAAAAAATAACTTTATTCCAAATGATCTGAATAACTTAAACATTAAATATTGGAAACTGATGGCAGTGATAAACTTAACAAACATTAAGCCGAGCAGTTTTTGACCTAAGTCACACATCAAAGGGGCCTGTTCTGCTTCACTTGGTTCACTTTCTTCCATCTAATTGAGTCTTCATTTGTCCTTCACACTACTGTGGAGCAAAAACTAAGTTCAGCCAAGATGGCTTGATTTTACCCGGCTGAGTTTAATAAGTAAATTTCTAGGTCTTTGTAGACGTTACCAGTCTTTTGTATTTGCTGTTTGCACCAATAATGTACTTGCATATTGTCTTCCTATTTAAACAGTGACATGTGGAAATCAATTTCCATCTCAACTGCTCAAACTGTTCTGATTTTTATTAGTCAGACACTGTTTAAACATTCTTACAAATCATAAACATGCTTGACACGTTTATACAGTTGCAAGTCAATATTTGCACAAACAGATTACAGGACTACTTTTAGTGCTAACTTGTTTTTATTGCTTTCTGTCAAATAACAAACAGCTACAGTATTGTTAACAGGAAACCTCTTGACATTTAATAGCATGACAAACATACATGTCTTGTATTAAACTCAAACAACAGGGTTCACACTCACTGTGAAACATCTTTCTTAAACATCAGTGGTTATTTTGATTACAAGTATGTTCTAAAATAAACTGTTCATAAAATAATCTCTGGCATGTCTGATCTTATCAGACACACAAAAAAATGACTGATCATTTCAAAAACAAGTGCAATTCACATGATCACAAATTTAGTAGTAAGTGGGAATGACAGGAACTGTTTTCAGAGCATCGCTTTGACAGGTCATGTCACATAATTTCTCATAATACTATAATGGGGAAGAAGCTTACTTGAAAACAGCCTGCCTTAAGTGGCTCTGAGAAATGGAAGAAATGATCACTTTTATACTAAAAACAAAAATGGAATAGAAATCATTTTAAATGTATCCAAAATCAACCTGGGAACACCAGTGATACCACATTTGACAGGAATTCAAAATGCAACAAAACCTACCGCTTTAAAAAATAAACATTAAATGCATCAAAACCGATCAAAGTACAGTTTCAAAGCCACATAGCTTATACAACAATTATTCTCAATTATTCTAGTCAAAGAAAATGACACATCAATTCATATCCTTTTTTAAAAAACCATATCCTTAAAAAATACAATTTCAGATAGCTGATGGTACTTAAAGACATCTATGAAGGCAAGAAGTTCTGAATGGGAGCAGAAAGTTGCTTAATGTACACCAGGTCAGTATCAATCAACAGTTTCACACACTAAGTACAGGGATATAGAGTCAAACCTAAATAACAGGCCATTTAATTCTCCATTGTGTGAAAGTGAGTCATTTTTATAGAGGAACAAGAAACAAACTGTACAGGCAGAATGGGTGCACAGAGGCAAAGAGGAATCTTTATCAAATCTTTTATCACAATATTATATGAAAAAAAAGAAGAAAGCTGACTAATCTTTTCACATAGGTGAAGCTACATCCATGTCCAAAGTGAGTGAATCTGTGGGAGAAACACAAATACAAGCTATTAATATTAGGCCAAGCTCTATAATGCTTAAGGACTAGACCTTGATAGCAAGAACATTTTAGGAACATAAGGACATTTTGGCAAGTGCTACCTCTTTGGTTTTAGAGATAAGCTTCTAATTAGATTTGGCATGTAGTTGTGATGGTTGAGGTCAGGAAGTACAGGACTGGGAACTCATTACGTCAATGAGTGTCCTCACAAGTATGAAAAAACCTGTGTATGCACAGTACACGTGTAATCGACTCACCCAAATGTCCTGGATTGGCTTCAGCTTCATTGTGCATCAGAGAGTCAAGGGTGCGAGGCGACATGGGGAACAGGTCACTGGTGTTTCCAGAGTTTGTGCTGTGAGAAACAAAAAACGAGAGGTCAAATTGTATGTCCGCTGATGGTCATACGCACAATTAATCCTGGATTTCTGCTATACTATTTGTTTTAATCAATAAAACCCCAATATACACTGAACAAAATTATAAACGCAACACCTTTGTGTTTGCCCCCATTTTTCATGACCTGAACTCAAAGATCTACGACTTGTTCTATGTACACAAAAGGCCTATTTCTCTCAAATATTGTTCACAAATCTGTGTTAATGAGCACTTCTCCTTTGCCGAGATAAAACATCCACCCCATGGGTGTGGTATATCAAGATGCTGATTAGACAGCATGATTATTGCACAGGTGTGCGTTTTGTTCAGTGTACATCTTTATCATCCCACTTCAGTGGAGTAACTACTAGCCACCTACATACACTACTTTGTCTACATCAGTGTTTCATCACACTGGCTGCCACAAGTAAAAAAGGCTGCACTGTTTAATCGACTACTCATTCAATGACTAAAAAAATGCATTCCACCAGGATCATCATCAAAGACAATCAACAATTAGTAGGGGTGTGACGATACACGGTACTGGGTTCACGAGGCGAGATGATATTTTTACACTATTTTTAATAAATCTTCAATGAAGAAATATGACTGTCTTTTATTCAACTGAAAGTCACAAAATGCTAAACAATGCAGGTGCAGTCTGAAATGTTTTAACTAATCATCTTGTAATGTTACTTCACTTCTGCTTTCTGAGTATGAATTATCATATGCCACCACTGTAAAAGGGTTTGCCACAAACTCAGCTGACTGGCTTCTCTCCTCTATGATCTCATGAGTCTCTTCAGACCTTATAACTGTGCATGAGCTATGCAGGAGCTTCTAACCTCAAAGTGAAGCTGTGTGTGACCTTCTATGCTATTTTTGCCCTCACCATCATCCGGCAAAGGCGCTACATTGACCAATCACGTGGAGGCCTACGGGAAGGAGACTCTTTTGTTTAGCTTGGTAGCATGAGCGTTCACTGCTATTCACTGTCAGATCTGGGCTACAATTAACACATCATAAAGACACGCCATGGATCTTCGTTAGGTGCTAAGGTAGAGTAGGCTACGCTAGCAGCATGGCAAATCAAAACACAATGGAAACTCACGGGCTGGAAACATGAATGAAGCCACTGACGTCAGCTCACTGCCCTCTCATTGTACACGCCTACAACACTCCCCCCTGCAACCCCTCACCTCGACCAACGCAGCCCTGTGCCTTAAAACACAGCAGGGAGTTGCGTTTTTGTCCCGTTCCGTCATGCACTGATACGGTAAGACAGCTTTTGCCTTGACGAGAAATACTGTCACGTTTTAATATCACGAGATCTCGTCACACCCCTAACAATCAGCATTTGAGTCAATATGCAAAGTCATGCCAGAAAATGAGATTAAATGAAAGACGGGATGGTTCTGTGGTTAAATGCTGATAAATAATTAAATACCAAAATGCATTACAAACTAAAGGACTGGGCAGATGGTGAGGATGTTAGATATTGTTTCTGCTTTTATCTGATGGAAGGCAGCTGCTCTACAGCCAATGCCACAGCTGTTGTGCTGTTGTTTAGCTTGGTGGGTTAGGGTTAAGTGGACTGAACAAGCAATTACTCAGCCTATTCTTCAGACATAAAAACAATTTCCTCAGTTTTTCCCTCTATCAAACTGACAGCTTCTGTCTCGCCTATTTTCTTATGGAATTATTAATCGACTTGGAAATACTTTCATTAATAATAAAGTATTACCCTGATCTGAAATCTCCTATCGCTTTTCCTCAAACAATAAAGTAGTTTGGCCTGTTTAATTCATATAAATGGATCTGGCTCAGGGATAAAGAAGCCAGGTCTGGGAAACAGCATGACCTGAACCAAACATAAAACTAATGAATGGCAGGGAGATGCTCTTGTATTAGGACCAGAACATGTGGCTGTGAAAAGTTAGAAAGACAAGCAGGAAATGTGTAGGTGCGGGTACTACACTAATAGCCCTGGAACCCACTGATCAAACATACAAAGTGACAAGATGCACACACAGCCCTACATGCGCATACCCTGGGAATCCGTTCCCAAGCAGCTCACTGTCCGGCAAGTCCATGAACACGGAGGGACACCTATGGAGACAGGTCAGGATCTCACTGAGCAAACCTCACAACCCAACCAGCACACCATCAAAGCCACGACCAACCAAAGCACACATGGCTGACTGACTTGTGCGCGCAAAGCCACGACCAACCAAAGCACACATAGCTGACTGACCTGTGCGCGTACACACACACACACACACACCTCACCTGCAGCTGACTCTGACCCCTCTCATCGCTTTGCATTTCTTCAATCTCTTACATTTGAACATTTCTAAATGTCAGCATTTGTAAATAAAATTAGTTAGAAATATCTAAAATAATACATTTTTTAAATTTCTCTGCTAATTCCTATGCATACCATTTTTAGAGGTTGTTGCTTTGTTGCTATTTGTTCTTTTGGTATATTGGTCGTGTTCACCACGACCATCAAAACATGTAAGCTAAAACTAAATGTAAGTGTGATTACAAAACACAAACAAAAATATACAAGCTTGTTACTTTATATAATTAGAATAAATGTAACAGAGTGGGCGATGTTCTTTACTGTTATATTTTGATGACCTACAAAGATGCAGGTGTTGTACATGATTATTTGGATACTGAGCAAAGAATTCCCATCAAAGTCCTAAATGAAGACACAATATGATGCCAGGTGTGAACCTGAGTCTATAAAGTCTGCACATAATTGGATTTACAATACTTGGTCTGAACAGAGTGATGTTCCTTTAATGACACAGTGAGAGTGAAAACAGTCTTGTTCTCTTTTCTTTGAACGTTTGGCAACACATGCTATAAAACGGAAGTGCAGATCTTGAGCAGGGATATAGAGTCTCTTCTCTTTGTAAAAGGAAACAGAAACAGCAGTAATAAAGGCTAACATAAGTGGAAGTCACTGAATGGCATGAGATCCAGGGCTGAACCCGACAAACAGTTTTGTCTTTTTTATCTTAATATATATTTAGAGCCTAAAGTCTAGGCCCTACACTGCCAGAAAATCAAGTGGCATGAATTTCAGTGATGATTTTGACCACATCAACATCAGTATTTAAATGCAAAACGGTGACAGGGACATATTTCAGAGCATTTTAAAATCAATAAAGTACAGCTGCATATGATGCCAGATTTAAATTGTGACCTATTTAAATTGACAATATATAATGTCGGGCTGCCATATGGATTTGCTGGAATAATGAGACAGGCAGCAGGCTTGTATTTCTGTTGAAACAATGCTCTTATAGTCAGTTTTTTCTTCTGAGACATGGTTATAGCCTAGTGTATCAACAAGCTTGAGTTTCTCTCATCAGTTAACCACAGTGCATGTTATGTTTGAAGCGTGCACTGCTAAAGATTATAAGAACATATAGGCTATTTATGATTCTTCTTTATAACTCCTCACTGAAATGTTTTCCCAGCACATTTTTCTTAGCTCTTTCTTTCTAGTCCTGTTCAGATGGATGCATGTCATAGCGAATGGTTGTGCGTTACACTTTAGTCTTTCCTCTTGTAAAATTAGACCATGATATTTAAAAACACTTCTAATAACGCAGAAATCTCACCTTTATGTGGCTTGTCCTAGTGGATTTTGTTGTCTTTTTCCCCATGTTCTGGACAGCAATTTGTAAATAGTGTCACTGGACCTTATTACATCCATGCATAGGACAGTGTTGACATGGGAATTCCTCCCCGACCACAGGGGAAAGTACTGAGCAAATTGCTGCTTGGCACACCAAAATGAGGAGAACAAGACGACAAACTAACAGGGACTGGGGCTACCTTCTTTTGTAATGCACACTGGCTGACGAAAAATAAAATAAAATAAAAACAAAGTCGACTGACAGGTTTCCCAACAAATGATTTGACTAGTCGACTTTCAGGGGCTGCAATGGGCTGGCGACCTGTCCAGGGTGTACCCCGCCTTTTGCCCGCAGCTGGCTGGGATTGGCTCCAGCCCCCCGTGACCCCGTTTGGGACTATGCGGTTTAGAAAATGGATGGACTTTCAGGGGGGCAGCCCTAATGAGATCTTCCTGTAAAGAGGGATGTCTTGAAGATGAGGAAGGAGTGATGGATACTTACGGGGTAACGCAGATGAACTTTGTCTTCAGGTATGGCTGAATAGCTGTTATGGAAAAAAAAATGTTAGCACTTATAACGAAACAATACTGACTACAGTTTAAAAAACTGTACAATGAGGAAGTAACATGCATACTAATTAATGCAGTATTTCTATTTTCTCCTAAACTGCACAGACATCATAAAGGACAAGGCAGTCACTCACTGCTCGTAGAGTCTCCTCCCATCTCAGGTTCAGGAACTGCTTCTGGCCTGCAGTATTTCCCGAAAGCTTCCTCTTTAGGGATATCGGGGTAGAGGTAGACAAGAGGTGAAACCAGAATATTGGTTGCATCCATAATCTTATAGCCCATGATGATGTCGGCAAAAGACATGTTGTTGAGCTGCTGCTTGGTGTAGGGCTCCACTGACTGGATCTGAGTTTTTCCTGCAAACACACAAGGAAGATTAGTGTTGCTACAAAACAGTCCTGAAAATATCGTAAGATAATTAATATTATCTTATAATATAAAATATAAAAGTTAAAAAAGGCCCTAAATACTCACCACTGATGTCTTTCTCTACCCATGTAAATGTAATGCCTCCCTCCTTGCTGCTTTCACTAAAGCGCAGCAGAAATGTACCAGGAGGTTTTGGACTCAGAATGGCTCTCTCCCTCTCCTTACTGATAAATCCCATTATATACCTACAGAAAGACAACAGGAAGTCGAATAAACACATGGTGAATTTTAAAATAATCTGCCACTTTTAAAATTCTCTATTTAAGACCTGCATGTACAAACAGAGCCTTTGATATAACAGGCAATTCCTGTGACTGCTCAGGGATTTGTTTGTAAAGAAAGAACAACCTCTCACCCCTCATTCCACAGAGCCAGGATATACTTCTTTACCAGGTCAATAATGTTGTCCAGCCACACCCAGAAGGAGAAGCCCTTGCCAGCCATGTTTTCCTGCAAAGAGGAAGGAAAAAATAACTTACGCTGAAGCAACACAATGGCAAGATGGCTGAACCGTAGGTAGTGTGTAGCTGAAGTACCTTGCAGAACTTGGCCCAGGTGATCTGACAGCCAGAGTAGTTCACACAAGGCCCTGCAAGGACAAGTCAAAAACATTACTGCATATTTGTATATGAAACAGTGCAACATTAAAAGCTTTTGGAAAATATCAAGACTTTTCTCTCACCTAGTAATTTCTCAGCCAGAGTGGTGAGCTGCTCAATGGTCAGGCCTCTCTTAGTGGTGGAGGAGAACTGCCAGCTTAGCACCTCAGCCACCTGGTCCCATGTACCCACTGGAGGCTTGGTGAAGAAGTTCACATTCTGTGCAAAGACACCCAGGCCAGCATATTGTAAAAAAAACATATGATTTTTTCACAACAAACCGATCTACATTCTCCCTAAGCAGAGGTCAGCCCCTTTCCACCAGAGGGTGCTGTCTTACCTTTGGGTGGTTAGTGAGCATGTTGTACCAAAGAATGGAAGCCCAGGCGTTGGGCATCTGGCAGATGTTTGAAATGACTACCACAGGCAGGGAATGTGTCTGCATGAGAGAAAAATGCATTTCAGCTTTTTGAAATTTAGTTTTTTAATTTTAAGATTGTTTGTTATTGCTTCCTGACATTGCAAAATGATGCAAAAAATGTTCCTGGGTCTATTTCAGCACATCGTCTCATAGCAGGACTTTTCAGGATGTCCTCTCATTAGTACTGTTCTTACTGGGCATCCGCTGTGAAAGCGAAACATTTACGGCATATACTGTGTCTATATCCACATAACAATTGTCTGTCTATAGCCTGTCTTCACAAAAAAAAAAATATCTGTCAGTAGGAGAACCTTGTTGTGCCACTAAGACAAATGTTGCTGTGTTACAGATGCTGTGGATGGTGCTTGAGACAGATGGCTTATTGAGTTTTCTAACACTTGTGAATGGAAGCTCTGTGCATAACACATTAAACATGAAAGTTAGCTGAGTCATAACATTCACTATTAGGACTCCAGACTGTCAAGGAAATGTTTCTTCATCAACAAAGGATTAAGGAGGGTTGTAAAAGTTAAATTTTTCTTCACCATAAACATTTAGTGTTGGCTTCTCTGCCCTCAGTTAGGTAACTGGGGTCAGCTCAATAACTGGGTGGAATGAAGAGCAACTGCTCATATAGAAGCTGAGCTGTTGACAGTGTCTGGAGGCGGGAGACGTTGTTAATGACTCATTTGTCTTCTGTATGGGTTGTGTAAGAACAAAACTGCTATATGCTTTGAGTGTTTTTAGAGTTTTGTTTACGTCTAGTGTTGGGTAAAAGTTGAACTGGGGAAACAGAAATGTGGAGCTCACCTCCAGATCTATCTTCAGACCTTGGTGATAAACTTCTGTCTCGAAAGTGATAAGATGAAGCTCCTCTGTGACAATCAGAGAGGCCTAGAGAAAGCAGACTAGTTAAATGTATACGCATAAAAAAATTCACTCCATGAAGTGTTTATCAGATGGTAAACTAAAACAGATCATCCTGACACACATAACAAAACAGTTTAAACCAAATGATTTTACATACTATCTCGCCACGTATTAGTAGTACTTACATCACTATTAGTCCGTCCACCATTACCACACCTCTGTTCTCTCAAGGTCTGTGACAAAAAGGAAGTCAGTGCTCTGTAGCTGGCTTTTATCAGATAAATTCAGTGTTGTCAAACATTAAGAGTTCCTGTAACTTACCAGGTGTTTAAACTCTGCTGAGAGGCTGCCATTATTGGATTCTTCCATGTTCATAACTTTTGTGTTGGTGCCAAGGATGTTAAACTTTCGTGACCTAGGAAAATTAAGACACACCTGAAAGTGAGACCTTCTTCCCACATAATAATACAGTAAATCCTCAGGTTTGAAAAAGTCTTACCCCCGAATTGCAGCCACATCCCCAGATTCTCTAAAACAAAAACAACATTTAAAAATCAGTGAATCAATAACTTTTCCTAAGGTTTGTAATGAAATCACTGTCCTACTGAGCAAGACTTGACAAAAATTTTGGAATACCCAGATAAAAAACAAACTCACTTGTCGATGCAAACTTTAATTTTCAGCTGGTAATTGAGTTCAGGAAACTTTACCAGTAACCTGGAAGAATACGGTATTGGCCACAAAATGCATTAGGATATAAAACAGCACTAAATGTATAAACATATGTATTTTGTTTAAATCTGCATCTTACCTGACTTTATTTGTGAACTGCACTCCCGTTTTGATGACCAGGGGTCTGTCTGGGTGCATGGGCATACAAGGCTGTCTTTCAACCACAAAAGCACTAAAAGACACAACAGGTCATGTTTCAGAGAAGTTGGCTCAGATGTTACCACATGATCTCTATGTAAACCATCAGAGACAGTTCCTCTTGCATCATTATTAACTGGAACCTTGGATTCTCGTCACCACAGATTTATTTTTTTCCCCAAAAGTTCAAGCATGAATATCCATGCAGTTCATAATAACAGTAGACAAACATGGTCTGGGCAGATCTATGGTGAGGAGTCATCAAATACAGTACCTCTTCATGAGGTTTCTGAACAAGTCCACAATCTTCTCCTCCAGAGCAGGACGGTGCTGAATGATGGGATCTCCTTTGTAGGACACCTTCTGTTGAAGTTCCTCCAACTTCTTGATCTGCTGACGGATCTGAAGCTGGGACTCAGCCAAAGATGTGATCCTGGTTAGAAGATTAAACCCAGTTCAATTAAACATCTTGATGAAACACATCTCTCGTTGTCATGTCGACTTGACAATGATGGTGGCTGAGCACATTTAGACGATTTGATGTCTGCATGATGAAATATTACCATAAAGGCTAAGTGCAGCAGAGACCAAAGTCATACAATAAAAGACAACACTGAACACTTTGCTTGCTACTGTGATAATGACCATTACTATGAGATTAAAGGGATATTTTCTCTTGCAGTAAAACATTACATGACCAGTGCATTCAAAAATCATTCACTACATCATGTGCTCTCACGTTTTCAGATACTGGACATGCAAAGTGGAAGCAGCAATGTGGATGACTGTTTTTATTTAATTTCAATAAAATAATTAACTTATTTTTCTTAATTTATAATTCCAATGCATAATTTATCTGAGCTCTGCCAAAACTATCCATGTTATATAAACTGATCAGTGATGATTAATGTGGCTTAAATTTAAAATGACTTAAAATATGCACTCCTGGTTACCATGTTTCCAGGCGGTCCAGGCAGATGTTAGGTGGGCCTCCAATACAGGCAATTTGCTGTCTTCTCTTCCAGTCTGCTAGTTCTTCATCTGTTAGGTTTTTCTGCACATAGTCCATGGCAGTCAGCAAGCCTCCCATCTCTGTCACAATTTGCTACAGGATAATAAGCACAGCACACAGTAGGCATGGCTATAATTAGTTGATGTTTATGGGCAGTCCAAACTTTCTGACTCTGCTAATAATCAGGTGTAAGATCCAACTATTCAGTATAACCTACAACTATAAAAAGGTGCTACGTATTAACTTTTCAACCATATAATTATAACTGTAAACCTAGTTGGTATGATCACTATTAACAAAGTCACCATACTGGTAGTTTTACTCTCTACAGTACGTTATTGTTTTTCAAACTCATTATTTCCTATTAATCCTCTTGGTCTGCTTTTGCAAAGCCCCTTTTTTTTAATATTCATGTACCAAGTGTCAAGCCAAAGCCACTCCTCCAGTTCTGTTCCATTACTCAATTGAGAAAATTTCACAAGAAGTCAAGATTGGTGGCCACATGTAAAATGTGGTATGGATGACAGTGGGGTGTGTGGCGTCACAGGAACAATGACAGACAGGTTCATGGCAGCGTTCAGCCATTTGTGTTACTCAGCAGGGTGTATGCCTGTACACACCACCATGAAACTAGATGTGTGGTTTTATTTCATTGTAAGTAAACTGGATAACTTTTAATTTGCTATTCATAAATTTTTAAGCAGGTTCAAGCAAACAAGAACACAGCCTACTTTTAATTTAGCCTTTTTCCTGTTTAATTATTATTCGTGTATTTCAATTATTTTCTTCTTGGTTTTTCCTAAGGCCAGTGTTTCCACTGGTGACATTTCTTAGTGTGCCCCACCACACCCCATGGCAAAAACAAACAAAACCCAATCCAACCAACCAACCATCCAGTCATTTAATCATGCACCTTAGTGACTCTCCCCAGAAGCCTGTAAAACAACACTGCAAGTCACATACACAGGTGCAGTTAAGGCCAATTCAGACACAACACGTGTTCAGATGCATTTTTCATGCAACAGATAGAACTCCAATCTATGAAACGTGTCCCCAACACATGCACATGTGAGCCGTGCATCAATCAATTTATGCTTCAGGTGTATTTTCTCAGGGTGAAGTGTTGAGGACTTAGTTTTGCAACTGCTAAGTCACTGAAAAATAACTAGCCTATATTCTATTATTAATAATCCATATAATTATTAAGTGATTGTTCACCTCCACAGAGGGAACAAGGGATGGAAGATAAGAGTTCAGAGAGGGGCAGATGAGGAGAGAGGAGGTAAGTGTCCAAGCAAAACCCCCCTGCACGACCTTTGACTTAATCTGACATGCCACAGATATTCACCCTCCTGAGCTGGTCCAGGGCGCTCAGCATCTGCTCAAGCTGAGCCATCTTCTGTCTGGTAGCAGCAGCCTGGCTATTCCCATTTAGGTCCTGGGACAACTCTGGAAACAGGGCAGGGCGTAAGTCAGCTGTCAATTTTAATGTAATAAATCTATACCTGTAAAGGTTGACAAAAGCCATTAAATAAGTGTAAAACTTTTGAGACAAAGTTAATCAAAATTCCAGCAAATCAGCATAACTGCTAAATCTAGGAAAATATTTCTTAGCATATACCTCCTTGGCTTTTCAGTGTCTTGTAATTGAAGTCAAAATCATCCTGTAAGTTCTCAAGCATTTTCATCTTCTGTTCCATATCCTGTAGAAACACAGACAATGATTTAAATGTGTCAGTTGTTCACATTAACATAATAAGAGTGTTTATTATTTCTTATGCTGAATAGTCAAATACTACATCACCGAGTCTTTGATAGAAACCTACCTGTACCCGCTTCCTGATGTCTTGAAGGTTGTGTTCTAGGATCTGCTGCTTCTCTGTCACTACTGTCCCAGTGGGATGGGCTGCCTGACCATCCTACAGGAAAAGAACAACTCTAACATGCAGAACAACTGTGCCAACACATACCCATAAATACCTTTATTACTGAATAATAACATAAAGACTGGTTGGTGTAGCTTTCTGCACCTGTGCAGCAGAAGTGGCAGTTTGCAGGAGCCTCTGCTCCTCCCACAAGCAGCGGGCAACAATGCGGGCAATATCCATCGGCTTCTCCAAATACTTGCTCTGCAGGTGCTGTTTAATCCTGCGCAGGTTATGTTGGTAAAGTACATTGTTCTCCTGCAGGAAACGGCTATACTGCTGGTCTATCTCTCCCAGGAGGTTGTGGAACACCAGTGTGGCATGTGACTCCTTATTGGCAGCATAAGCCCTTGTAAGGGAGGAGATAAGATAAGATTTCTAGTTCCTTCTAGGAGCCAATAAAAAAATGCAGTCAAACTAATCCCCATTCACTATTCACACCACCTTCACACAGCTTTTTGGATCTCATCAAAATGTCAAACAAATGGGACAGAAAATATTAATATGGCCATCAAAAAATAAGAATCGCAGAAAGCTTGATCACTCAACACAGAACGGCTTAAATGGACTGTGATACTTAATATGCATGAGATCTCCGTAATGGTGTCATGAAGTAACAATAAGGTATAATAAGGAAGAGGGTGACATTGAATTTTAAAACACAATAGCTTTCTATGTGGCAAGCCAACAGCAAGTCATGATAGGTTACCAGCAGCCAGCCCACGGGGTATGGAGGATCAAAGCACTTGAATGTAATATGTTAGAAAACATGAGAAACAAAATATATTTTCAGAACAGAACACAGGAATTCAATTATTTCTTACCAGTCCTGACTCTCAATCCAGGGGGCAAGAAACTGCCGTAGCTCCATGGGGAAGCTGTCGCTGTACAAGTGATAGAGCTGCTCCAGATACCTGGTTTCCAGCTGTTGTAACTGGTTCCACTGGGCCATCCTGACATATAACTCCTCAGACCTTCACAAAAAAAAGATGGGGATAACCACATAAATTAAACAGGATATCCGGAAAACATCTCTGGCAAAGCATATACTCATAAGTATAAAATAAAACTGTGTCGCATGCCTTAACAGAATGGCACTTAAAACTCGTGACAGAGAAATAACTTAGTTTTTCTCTGAAAATGACGACAGCTCAGACACTTCCTGTTCAGTGAAAGGTTACATCTCCACCAAGAAATATAGGCTGACATTAACAGCTGTCAGCTTCCTAAGCAGAATGATCTTTGGTTGAGGCTTTACCTCAACTGTATTCAACAGAAACAATGAAAACCACAATTCCCTTCTTAGCTGCTGAAAAGCCACTGTAGGTATAGATTTCACACCAGAGAAACACATATTCTTTGACACAATTAAATTTTTATCATGTTCTACATTTTCTGATAAGCTTAATACAACTTGAACAATATACTGCCAGTAATCCTCACTGAGCTGCTTGCAGGGATAACCATTGTTCATCAGATCCATATGGCAGAGTCTGCAATACTTCTCATCTTACCAACAGCAGGCTACACTGGTCCCCAGAGGGCTAGACTGTACAGTGAATCCAACAGAAAGCTGTCTCCTCTTCTGCCCATACTGTATTGTATTACAAGCTGGAGCCTTTGTTTGAGCCCCTTCATAACTTTTGCATACTACTGCTTTACCATCCAAAGTCTGAGCAGTCAGTAGTTAGCTGCACGGTTTCACTGCAAAATATTGACGTGTGGCTGAATTTAAATCTAGACAAAGAAGTTCAGCAAAGCTCCGAGCCTTGGTAAGTGATGATTCAGAAATGCTCTTGACAAGAAACTAGACTGTGCTTTCTGTTTCCAGGAGTTGAGATATCACAGACAGCGCTGCTAACATTTGAAATACTTAAAACAAGTAGCTAAATTTGCATTCTGCATTTATCCATGTTTCTGCATCACTCACTGTACTTGCTTGATAAACCACTTCATTTTTAAGTCTGAATGCTTGATGTCTCGCCCAACCCTATGTATATGCATAAGGACAGAGTAAAAGAAACTCCTCTTAATATAACGCAATCCACTTACTACACAGTCAATCAAATCTTATCTGTCACAGTGTCAAAAAGAAAAACTGAACATTACAAGCTTCAGAAAAATGTCTTTATTACAAGGTTATATAATCCTTTTCCTATCTCCCACAGCAGACATTCTGACAAACTGTATTATAAAAAACATAGGTTTGACCACTGTCACACCTAAAAAGAATTAAACAGTCACTAATTTTTTTGTTACACATTTGACAATTTAAAATGTCTACTGTAAAATCAGTCCTTTGTAATGAAGTGTATAAAACTGCACAGATATACCAGAAGAGCTGGTAACTCAGGAGGTTCCATGTCAGTGTTCACTTACTTAGGGGCAACCTGACACATTTCTGTATTCCGGGTTTCATTAATCATTTCAGTATCCCAAAGAAGAATTCTGTTCTGAACAATTATTCTCACTTACATCACATGGGTCGGGGTTGTTTTAAGTTTGTAAGGCACAAAACTCAAACTGTCCAACAAACCTAACAGGTTTTCGTATGAGCCACGTTCCTCTTTCACTGACATGTGAAAATGGTGCGTCTGCACAAGGTGAATTTCTGGGCATGTGAAAAACCCTGAAAGGGTCACAAAGTGCAGCTGAGTCACTGTCAGTACTGTGAGGATTCTTTTCATCACCTGAATGGTTGTCTACTTCCTTGTCTTCTTGGTGAATTTCAGTTGTTATTTTACATGTCTCTGATACACAAAGAAAGTACAAGGAAAAGAGGGGACCAAGAAGGTCATAAAAAGGCCATTAGGTTCAATTTGCAAACCTCTTGGCACAAAGTGACCTTTACTATATATTACATTTCCACTACCTTCAATATGTCCATGTAATGTATTGAATTGTAAACTGGGGTACCAATAAACTCACCACCTAGGCTAAATCAAGTGGCTAGATTGCTCCAAAATATGGAAAGGACATCTTTGAGATTATTAACGACCCATTGTATACAGTCATGTAAGTGGCACAAAACTGTTTTACAGCTTAACATTTTAAATAATTTCTGTCACTGAGTTAATGCCACATAGTCACTGCTACACAACTAGTCAGATGTTAAATGCGTTTGGGATAGTAAGCTGATACATTCAGTGGGTCCAAACTGGCTGTGTGTCTGGGTCACACACATTAGACTAGAAATGAAAGCCTCAGAGTACCTTTTCCTAAATACTGAACCAAGTGTCAAGGTGATGATCTTATCAAAACACCACATTGTTTACATCTGTCTCTGTCTGAGTGTCACTTTGACAGTAGGCCAGCAGACATGCCAGGCCAACCAGATTGGTGCCGTTTGTCCAGTTTCCAATGCTTGGCAGTCCTGTGTCACTAACAGTAAACCATAATGCAATTCCTTAAATTGTGTCATAGATATTCCAGGAAGTACTTCCTGAAACAACAAACAGAAAGCAGTAACTATGCAAACTTTCTACTTTTATTATCTCTGTGAACACAGGTGACAACAAAGGTACTATTATGTAGGCTAAAATAATAAGTCGTGTCCGTGACAGCCCTGAGGACCGACTGCTTTCAATAGTGCAGTAGAGTTTTACAGTATGTGACACACTGTGTCAACAGCTGTAGGACAACATAAACATGGTATTCTGAAACCCTTCTCAAACTCTGTAACTGATCCCAAAATGATGATTCTGTACAGGTATGGACATGTCATTTCACCTGAGGAGATTGGTGCGACATTTTTAAAGAAAATACAAAAAATGACCGGAACTGTTGCCAAGTAACACACCTGAGAATTCTAATAACGTTTAAGATATATTTCAGAGCTGTGTTAGCGACAACTGACGTATGTATGACCATTATAAGCAATACAGACAAACTGGGCAAAATAAAAACACCTTCACGACACTGAAAGTCCTGGCTGGAATAGTAACAACCTCGTAAGGAGCAAGCACATTAGCGTCAAATAAAACACAAGTTAGTAGCACCTGGATTACTTAAGTAACAGCGGGGATACAACGGTCTCCCAACATGAATAACTTATAAGGTAATCACAGTGCTGCAATTGTAGTTTAGTAGCGTTATAGATAACAGAGTTATTCGTGCATTAATATGATCTTACGTGATATAATAATGAAAACAATCCGCGAGAAAAATTAAAAATGTTTTTAAAATTTGGCAAAAAAAAGCAGAAGTCGTTGAAGTCGCTTACCTATTTCGTTGGCACTCCTTTGGAAATTTAACCGTAAAAACTGTAACCTTTGGTACTAAAACCACTGACAGCAAGAGTCAGTGATAGCCTTTCTAAAAATCTGAGCACACAAAACGAGGAAGAACACACCGAAAAAGAACGCAACTCTCTTGCCAGCACGGGGAGCACTTCTCCAACACACGTACAAGGGTTGTCGCTCCCAGCTACTCCCCTACATTGCAGTCTTTCGAGCCACACAAACCTCATAAACTTCTTTATTGACACCTCTTACTGCCAATACAACATGGGAATTCGGCTATAGCCAATCAGAAGGCATATAGAAATTAAGAGAGGCGGGACTTTTGTAATAGGTTGGTTGAGAACGTCGTGTTTACTGCTGTCGCAACTGCGCTGTTCCCGTCAGAAGGCCCTCCCTACGGGTGGACCGCAGATATTCGCGCGTACTTATTTGCTGCGGAGGGAGGACGAGCACTTTAACAGCACAGCCAGCCTGGAAGTCATCTGAGTTACTGGCAGTATGACGTCATCAAGAGTTTAATAATGCCAGTACCAGTACTTTTTCAATTGGCCTCTCCTGATAATAATTCGGTACCTTATTTACCCAAGCATCTTATCAGAGTAGGCGAACAAATACCCTATTGTAAAACTCAAAATCTGACATACTAGTAGTGTACGATAAGATAGATTCATAAAATAAAAATAATAGGAAGTATATATTATTCAACAAGCTTTTATTTATATTGCTTCCACGAGGCAATAGCTGTCATAAACACATCAGAAAGGGCAAGCTCATTATTTGAGTATAAATCAATAAAACTATGAGCGATCAATGACACTTTGCATCCTACTGTATTGTGACTGAGCTTTTTTTTAAACAAGTGTCTCTACAAAGCCTGTGAATGTCCCGCCTCATACACAGCAGGCTGGTTCAATTTTTGAATATACCAGCAGCTAGGCAAGGCACAGTTTATATGGTTGCAAAATCAGCAAATGTGCCAATATATTTAATGTTTCATTCATTCATTCATACAGTCATTCATTGCAAAAATAATGTATTCTACATATTTTTGTCAAATAATCAATAAAAAGATACTATCATAACTGTGAGATGTCACAGCCTAATATATTTGCTCATTTCTGAAATTTGTTTTTGATGGAGATATAAAGTTTTTTCATGAAAATATCAGTGAGGGTATATGGTATTGCATAATTTTTACAATCACACACACATATAACCATTCTCTCTCTCTGTCCTTCTCACTGTTATCAACTCTGCCCAGTGCTCAGAGGGAGCACTCACTTTGATTGCATTCCCCATCCCATTGATTACTTTAATGGTGTTTCATGCTACACAGTGAGTTTCTTCATGCCTAAACCACATCAAGGTCACACATAGTCTCTAGGGAGGAAAATAGAGGCTGTTTCTCTGTGCTCGCCTTGATCAAAAGTGGTGTTGATTGAGCACTGCCACTGCCAGTTTACACCAGGCTCCATATAATTACATTTCAATTTTCAGAGCTTCCTCTAAACCTCCATGACCTTTTTCTTTAACTTACAGTGTTAAACTCATTTTATGAATAATAATCACATAGCTTTTATTATAGACATTCCTTTTATCTTTCAAAGGAAGTACAGATTGAACCTGGTCTCTGCAAAAACATTTGTGGACTGGATCATGCTGTTCGGTGTTCAGCCATTTACTGAAGTGCAGTGCACATCCATAATACCTGACAATGTGCTAGCTCATTTTAACTGCATTTCAGATGACATTTGCTTCTCCATTTGTTACATAGTCCATCATTAAACTGTCATCTTGTTCTTCAGCCCATCATTTTTCTGCCTGCAATTACCTTGGGAAATTTAACAAGGATGTGCAAATGTACTGTGATGAGCTGTGACCATGGTGACATAGTCAAGGTTTTTTGTTTTGTTTAGTTTTTTCTTCTCTGTGCAGCAGTGTGCTATGTGAAACTCAGAGAGTACAATATGTCCAGTTGCAATAAAATGACATAGTGAGTGTAAAAAATATACATAGTAAATAATCAAACTGTGACTTCAAGCATGCATTGTAAAGATACACCACAGCAAATGTTACTTTCTAAATTTCATGACTGTTTCATTAAAGTAGAGCTGGAATTTTGAAAGAGTAACCAATTAAGCAGGACAGATATTTCCCCTGTATAGAATCTTTTGTTATGACCTTTTTTTTCAAGAAAGCACAAAAATATACATGCAAGATATTAACTTGCTGCCTTGTCTTCAAATTTAAGTCAAGTAATGTCAAATTTTATATTTAGAGCCCAGTAGCCCATCACAAATTTGCCTCCAAGGACCATCATCACAAAGGTAAAACACTAGGTCTTAAAGTGATTGTCATAACAGTAACTTTAGTTGTTTGCTAGAGTGGTGAACATTTTAGTGACTGAATTTCCACTGTTTCAGTGTTCCCAGTGTGATCTTATATTAACACCAGGCATAATTTTAGTATGTTACATTTGTAATTTACACTGAGAAACATTGCCATGTAACATTTGGCATACTGCCTGAGTGATTGGTAGTAAATAAGCATCGTGTCTTTGTAAACTCTTCAGCTGAGGAAAGGATCTTCACATCCATTCTCTTCTGTCTCCTCTAATTCTATAGGGCTAAACCTTGCTTACTTGTTTATTTTTAGTTTCACAGGTGTGTGTCACATTACTAAAACCACCCATTGCAATATAAATCTGGACAACAACTTCCCGTTACCTGCTAATGTGAATATCATACATGGTATATATTGTGTTATACTTTACATCGCAAAAGCAAAAGCTGTTTATACCTTTTTATATTTCATTTTAAGCTCTTATAGCCGCTCAGTGTATTAAACTAACGACAAACATCAAATACCCCAAACATACATGTCTAGGATTACCAGCCTGTAGAATGTTTCAAACACTAGCTTTTTTGCTTTATTTTTCTCATTTGTATGCTAAAGAGGAGCAAATATGAAAGTCATCCCTGTTGGGTACAGTAAAAAGTGAACAGAAAAGAAATGAGATGTAGATTGTGATCATGACTAGAAAGTCCCTGCAGCTAATATTGTGTCCTTGTGATTCATCAATACTGTGTTCCATTCTTCATCCTTTTTATCATTCCTTTCACAGCCCTGAACAGCTGGGATGCTCATTCACTTTCGATCTTCTTTAGGTGGTCTGGCTCCACCCTGACCGGTTGAGAGCCTCCTGTCGCCTCCAACAGACCCTCCGCCTCTGGGCTGTCTACATTCACCAGCTTCCCTTCCTCCACCTCCACATGTACACCCAGCCTGTTGTTCTCGCCCCCTGGCTGGTCCTCAGCTTCAGACTCGGTCACCTCTACCATCTCTGTGTTCTGCACCACTTCCTCCTCCCCACCTCGGATCTTCTTAACATAGAAGGTAAAGGGGGGCACACGGTACACAGTGGTCTTGGAGCGAGCGTAGATTGTGTGGTCAGGAGTGAAGGACTTCTTCATCTTCTCTCTGGAGCTCCTTATCTTTGCCCTGCGCTCCTGGTTGGGCGTCACGCGGGACCCAAGCTTTCCAATCTTTTTCTCCAGATTATGCTTGGTTTTCTCCAGATTGTCACGGGTTCTCTTCTTGGTCTTCTCCAAATTCTCCTTGGTCTTTTTTTTGGTCTTCTCCATGTTCTCTTTAGAGAAGGCTTTCTTTATGTTGTCAACTTGTTGTTTTGTGGTGCGCTGGAGTCGCTTGGTACGGGACTCTTCAATAATCTCCTCAATCTCCACCTCCTCATCTGAGTTGAGATTGGCTGGGTGGCCCTGTTGTCCATCCTCGGGTATCTGCTCGAGGCCTTCCACTGCTTTACCTTCCGCTACTGTCTCTCTTGTCTTGCGTTTGGATGTCTTTGGTGCCTTCACTTGGTCCTGAAGCAGTAAAAGAGGAAGGAGAAGAAAAACAGAAGACTGTTTAGCCACAGCAGCATTAAACTATGCAATCACAATGTGCTGTATGAATTGAATAACATTTTCAACTGAACATTTACTACAATATTAGTAGGCATGGTGCTACATTGATTTAGTAGTATGAATGATATAAATTATGGCATTTCATTAATATGTCATGTGAAAGTTATCAACCTGAGAAAGTGAAGTTAATGGCCTTTAGGTGAAAAATGAAATTAAAAATCAGAGCATGCGTCATCTATATAGTCAGTATATACATGTAGACAATAGTTCAGTGCTTGTAGCTAGTGTTGAGTGCCATCTAGTGGTGGTAATCATGCGGCAACAAGGCTACATTCAGTTATTTTACATTTCCACTCTTGGAATTATATGTAAGAACTTGTGCTGTTGTGTATTTTATGACACATCACCTTAATAATAAAAAGACAACTACAGGGTTTCAATGAAAATGAAAATAATCTGCAACTCTACAGTGATATTGAAACTAAAGCCAAGAGGTTGTTAGCTCTAACCACAGGTGCATTTCCTGCCACTTTGCTGCCATTTCTTTATAAAGTCTTAAATTCACACACTTTCTGTGTTGTGGCTTAAAGGCATTATTTCCTGTTCCAGTAAAAAAAGGAGGCTTTCAGGTGATATTTTGAGATTTAAATGTTTAGAACAATGCCATTTATATGATAGTTATAATTTATAATTTACTATATAGTGCTGTTCTCACTTTACTGGTGAGACTTGCTGCTTAGTGCAGTTTCAGTTTAGCTAACAGCACGGCACCACAACAATTTCACATATGGTCTACCATAGCAATACAGATTGCCCCATATAGTAAAATCAGTTGGCCAGGTTAACGTTTGAATTTCTTTCTAGTTTTTCAATTGACTATTTTTGGGGAACAAGTCAACAATTTCTCAGTGCACACAAAGATGCTTTCAACATCCTCGTTCCACAAACTATACTGCTGTAATGCTGAGAGATGCCAGATTTCCATGTTGTTTGTCAGTATGGTACCAAAGCTCCACACAGTGAGAAGCTGTACTTGTCAATTATACGATTCCCATAACAGCATGCCTGTGACCCCCAGAGGCATTAGTGGTCCCACCTCAGTGTAACACCTCACTGCTTCGCTTGAGCTGTAATCTTCCCTGACTTTGAAGATATGCTGGTTGCTGTTACATTGTATAAAGAATATTTACATAGAAATTTGAGATGAATTCCTCGTAATCTCACCTCAAAGAGTATGAACTAGAATGAGAAGGAAACCGATGAAAGTTTTATGAAGGTCAAAACTGAAACTGATATTTTGGTTGCAGATCTTTTTATGCAAATAACTTCAGATATTGAAAAATTACACAAAATGAAAACTTTTTTGACTGATGTCTGAGTACAAGCATATTTATGCAGCACCAGCTTGTCTGGAGGTAGGATCATGGTGCAGGGAATTTTATATATTAGCAGGAAACACGTTTGTACAGGGAAACACATTTCCAAACTGTGCATATGACAAATAAACACTTTGACCTTTGACCTTGAATGAGCAAGCTCTTAGCTTTAACCAGAAATTTGTTTGACAATTTGTCTGAATTTGAGAAAAATAAAATATACCCCCTACAAATGTTTTTATCCAATATTGACCCAGTTGATGGAGATGAGGTCAAGAAGTGTAGTTATTATCAGCCTGTTGCTACATACAGTATTGTACACTGATATACTGTAGAATGATTTGCACTCATTTACTGCTATATTTGTACATAGTTGAGTTTATTTGTCTATTACACTGGTTCTAAAGTCAGAATTCCATTGTGAGTGTAACTGCTCGTTTATACTGTGCATATGACAATAGGTTTGATTTGATTTCTTTGCCGAACACTTGAATATGCAGTACTGCTATTAAATAGCAGATGTCTGTTTATCTTCTCCACCATAAGGTTCAACAACTGATCACTGGGAATACTGTAAAAACATAACAGTATAACAAGGCAGCAATGACTTAACTAACTAAAGACCACGACCAAAGACCACGCTTTAAGACCACAACCATCGTTCCCCTTCCCAAGAAGAGCCCGGTCACCTGCCTGGATGACTACAAGCCAGTGGCACTCACCCCAATTATTATGAAGTGTTTTGAGAGAGTGGTGCTGGCTCACATTCAGAGCAGTATACTGGGCACCCTGGACCCCCTGCAGTATGCCTACCGGCCCAACAAGGCCACTGCAGACGCCATCGCGGCTCCTACATCAGGATACTCTTCATTGACTACAGCTCCACCTTCAACACAGTTGTCCCCAACAAACTCACCCACAAACTGTCCACACTAGGTCTGCACCCCACCCTCTGTGACTGGCTCCTGGACTTTCTGACTGGCAGGCCCCAGACTGTCAGGATTGGCAATAGGACTTCAGCCAGCATTGTTACAAACACTGGCACCCCACAGGGATGTGTCCTCAGTCCCATCGTCTACACCCTGTTCACCCACAACTGTGTCGCCTCCCACAAAGACATCATCCTGAAGTTCGCGGACGACACCGCAATGATAGGTCGCATCACTGGCAGCGACGAAGCAGCCTACAGGAGGGAGGTAACTGGTCTGGTGTCATGGTGCAAGGACAATAATCTCAGCCTCAACATGGATGAAGATGAAGGAGATGATAGTGGACATGAGGAAGGAGAGGAGAACTCATCAGCCACTGTTAATCTGAGGACTCAAAGTGGAGAGGGTGAGCAGCTTCAAATACCTGGGCGTCCACATCAGTGAGGACCTCACTTGTACATTCAACACCGCACAGCTGGTCAAGAAGGCCCAATGGCAGCTGTACTTCCTGAGGAGGCTGAGGAGGTTTGGCATGTTACCTAGGATCTTTTGCAACTTCTACAGCTGCATCACCGTCTGGAATGGCAGCACTACTGCTATGGACCGCAAGCACCTGCAGAGACTGGTAAAGACTGCAGAGAAGATCACCAGGACTCCACTGCCCTCTCTGCAGAGCATTTACCACCGCAGGGTGCATAGGAAAGCTGCCTCTATCCTCAAAGATCCCACCCACCCCCAACATGGACTATTCACCTTCCTACCCTCTGGCTGGAGGTTCAGAAGTGTGAAATGTAGGACCTCCAGACTGAAAAACTCTTTCTTTCCCTCTGCCATCAGACTCCTAAACAGCTGAGGAGTTTATTACCAGGAAATACGTCATGTACTGACGACCTGTACCATTTACATTCTCAGTTTACACATGCATAATTGCACACTGACTGTTGACTGCTGCACATGCTGCTCCCATGCAGCATACATTCTGTTATATTCTTATATATTTTTATTATATTGCTGCATTTGCTGCTTAAAGTGCCTTAGATTTTGTGTTACCTATTTACAGTATCTACTTTATATTTCATTTGTATTTTGTGGCATTCATGTGGACGGCAAAGTAAGAATTTCATTGTACAGGGAAACACGTTTCCTAACTGTGCATATGGCAAATAAACACTTTGAACTTGAACTTTGAACTAAATGAATCATTATCTATGAAAAAAAATAAATGTAGGCACTGCTTCTGACACAAGTGACCATCTTCATTCTCTAGTCTAATTTAAGCTATACACCCCCGTTACTTCACATGAAATAATTTTTGGTTCTGCTCTCTATGCAAAAGTTATTCCTTCTCTCATGTGACTCAACAAACACTTTACATTCCCTTTAACCGATCTAGATTGATTTTTTTTTATAAAAACCTGGTTCTTGAAATCACTATACTCACATCACAGAAGTATATCCCTATATACTGTAACATGGAAGACAGTTGAAGTAGATTAGATACACATTAATCATAAACAGAGTAGAGATTCTATCAATTGGTTTGTAACTGTGAACATCAATATTTTTGAGAAGAACAAAAAAAAAAAAACAGTACTGGGATGAATTTAAGGTTGTAAGAATGGATTTTGAAATGTTACATTATTAGTTACTTATCTGACTTCTGAAGGACACATCTGTCAGAGCATTGAGCGGCACATCTCTTTGAGCAGTTCAGAAACTCATATGGTCCTGCCATATGGTAATATGATAGCCACCGCCTCCTTATCTGGTGCTGTGTATGGTATGGGCCTGGCCACTTTGTTCAGTATGTGTTTATTTTGGGCTGGCCTTTCCCTCTCTCTGGATTCCATCTACCATTCTCTGGCTACCAGCCGCTGCCATGATCAGTCAAACCGACACCCCCCCCACCACAACACAACACCCTTCCTTCCCACACAGCAACAGATAAACACAGCTTGCTCTGTCACCATGGCAACCACTTCCTCTTGTTGCCTCTGATGGGTGACGAAGTTTAGCTGGATAAACAGCTGACATATCTACAGAACCACAGTATACTAGCATGAGGTTTTCAGTTGTGAGCGTGTCACAATTAAGCTAAAATAAATCCTGCACCTGCTTTGCAGACACACACACGCGGCAAAGCGAGGCTGAGCTGCAGTAATAACACTAATGAGAGATATTTTTAAAACAGTAAAGAACAATAAAGAAGAACTAACAGGACAAATGCACAATGTGTGTTTATTGACCAGAACTAAACCCACATAAAATAAACATATAGATATAGATAGATAAACACACTGCATACTGTGAATAGCTGTATAAGAAGCTATGCAGGTGACCGCATATGTTTTTGCCAGAACATTTATAAAAGCTGCTTGTGTTCCTGAGGTAAACAACTCTAAGGACAGAGAACCTTTGTGTAAAAATTTAAGTGTACAAATGCATGATTATGCATGAGTATGAGTATTCATGCTAACATAAGTAAACCCACCCTCACACACAGTTCTTTCCATGAAGCCAGATTGTGAACACCTTTCATAAGGACTGTAGCCATGGTGCCTGAACAGGAAGCAGTGTGTGGTGGACTGGGAAGAGCCGAGGTCATGCAAAAAAGGGAAATTATAACATGGTCCAGGATCATGTCAATTTTATA